GAGTACCACTATTTTTATCTTTCTTTTCGCGAATCAATCGTTTCATTATGTCTTTTTTTTCGACCAGGCTGCAACCGTTTCTTCCAAGACATGGGTGTCATGTTCGGCTCTCGCCCGTCCCTGTGGTGGAAGATCTGCTGGGTGGGGCTCACCCCGGCCTTCATCACTGTGAGTTCTCTCTTTGTAATTATGTTGTCGAAACCTGCTCTAAAGACCACCTATGCCGTAGCAAACGGCGTAAAACACTTACCCAAAAAACAAAAACAAAAAAAAAAGACCACCTGCCCAAGACAATCACATGTCCAAAAGACCACTTCGCACCCCAATTCCCTCCCAGCATGTTTTTCCATCTTCTTTTTCTTCAAGCGTCAGGTCTAGAGCAGAAATTAACGATCATAGTACCCCATTCTTTCCTGTCGTCTGTTTTCTTGATCAGCTCTGTTGATCATGGTACCCCATTCCTTCCTGAAGTCTGTCTTCTTGATCAGCTCGGTTTTTCCTCTTTGTGTTATTCGATGCAAAGTTGTGTATGCTGTTCTTCGTCTTCCTCTGCTCTTCTTTTCTGCTATCTTTCCACACAGTAGCAGTTTCTCTAGTCGTAGTCGTGCACACAGATACATGTTGAGTATGCCTACATGTAGTTAACATCTATTTATCTACTTTTTCCCAGCATTATCCAGCTGATGTCTTTCTCTTTCCTTCAAATAAGAACCTGTTCCTATCAAAAAAGCATTAAATTGCGAAATGAAAGGACATTAAAAATGTAAATGGTTCAGTACCTGTTGTGTTTAAGTAAAACCACATTTTAACCACTTCCCTGCTCTGTAGACTTATGTGCTTACTCGTGTCACTCAAACTGGTTCCCAGTCGTTTTTTTCTACTGGTGTATAGAGGGCGTTTTAGAAGATGTAATTGAATGGGTCAGAAAAATAAAATTGTACTATTTCAGGTTAGGATCATTGCGAGGTAAATGCCATTTAAAAAAACAAAAACGAAACGGAACAAAACCCAAAAAAGCAGCTGGAGGTTAAGCATGGTACACTACCAAGTTGTGACCAATCATAAGGGCTATAACTCTGTTTAACCGCCAGCCAGCTATTTCATTCAAACGTTTAGCCTCTGTTGTGTAGCCTCCCATGATTCATACCAAAGAAAGAAACTTTCGTCATACATAAGTCTCAGATCATACTGAGAGCTCTATTTTTAGCGAAATGTGACTTAGGCTTTTTATTTTTTCTGACCCTTTCTGTTGCAACTTGTACGGTTTCTTATTTTTTAAAGGGGAAAATAGGCTAATGCTTTATTTGCATCTCTTTTTGAATGAATGCGTTATCTTGTCCATGCAAACGTGAATAAAAAGTCTCAACTCTGAAAGATCTACAGTTAGAAGACTGAAAAATTATAAATAAATGCATGAAGTAGAAAATCAGGGAGTATTGGGTTCCACTGCTTGAATGCAATGACACGTGGGGTAGAATTAAATGTCAACGAAGGGATGTAACCAAGTAATTACGGTCTTCTGTTTAGGTGTAGTTTCAGTGAGGTTAAAGGGCGCTCGCAACTGCATGGGGTCATATCGGCGCCAAGGGGTGGATGTCAACAGAGATGGTCCAAACGGGGAATCAGGCTTTCTCTGCTCAACTCTTTAGCCTCGACAGCACAAAATCGGCTTCGACTATCAAGGCACCCCGGAAATAGCAGTTCACAAGAAAGTGACAAACATACAAAAGAAGTAGAGGAAAAATGACGATAGTAAGGATGAGGAAAGAAAAGGCAACAGTTCCCCCTATGTTGTTCCGGCTCAGTATGAGCATGACATTGATAAATCAGCCCATTTACAATTCTACGGTGCATAAGAACATGTTTATATCTCCCCCTTTGGGAATGGCCTGCCCTGGGGGGCTACGAAGGGATGTAACCAAGTAATTATTACGGTCTTCATCCCAGCAGACAGACGGAGATACTCGATAAAATGACATCCTCAAAGTCAAAAGGGAATCAAACCTATACCGATTGCCTAATTATGTGGCAATGACTCACCTACGAAACCTTATTAATTGGCATGCACAGACGACCACTAAAAAAGTTCACTTATAACACATCTACCATGAAGAACGGGTTTCCTCGTTGATTTCCTGTCTTTTATTCTAAATCTCGGCCATAACCCACTGCCAGCAGCCGTCCAAACAAGACACACAGACATATAAAAAATTTTAAAGTACACTGAAAAAATATTTTGTATTATGACACATTCGCCAAACACTAGTGTAAAGACTGTTAATATGGACAAAATCATCTTCATTTTCTCTTCGATTTTATACATTTTGTTCAAATAAAATTAGTAATAGTAATTAATTATGATGATGGTAAGAGTAATGCAGTCGACACCGCTTGTGTTGAACTTCCTTAAGTTGATCTTGGGCTACGTTGATCTTTTTCTCGGGTCCCAGCTCCTCTTCTTCTTTACAATTCCCAACGGTTAAATTAAATTTCGGATGAGTTTATACCCCCCAGGGCGGTGCTACTGACTAAAGCGTCTTTAAGCCATTCCCAAAGGGGGGACATTAACATGTTCTTATGTAAAGTAGAATTGTAAATGGGCTGATTCATCAATGTCATGCTCATAACTGTGCCTGAACTGCAATGGGGAACTGCTGCTTTTTCTTTCCTCATCCTTGCTATCGTCATTTTTCCTCCACTTCTTTTGTATGTTTGTCACACTCTTGTGACTCGCTATTTCCGGGGTGCCTTGATAGTCGAAGCAGACTTTGTGCTGTTGAAACTAGAGGGGTGAGCAGAGTAAGCCTGATTCCCTGTTTGGACCTTTCTGTTGACATCCACCCCTTGGAGCTCATATGACCTTATGCAGTTGCAAGCGCCGTAAAAACTCTTCTAAAAGGATGAGTTTATCTATTTTTCACTCCCACTCCCCCACTCTTCACCACCAATCATTCCCACTCTCACCCCCACCCTACTCTTCCTCACCCTCTCCAACCCCCACTCATTTTCGCTCTCCCCACTCCACCCCCTCGGCACCAGTTCATCCTCCTGTTCGCCTGCATAGACTACAGTCCGGCCAGCTATGGCGAGTACACGTATCCCGCTTTGGCCGAAGCGCTGGGCTGGCTAATGGTTGTAGCCTCGGTCATCTGGATACCGGGCTGTGCGCTCTACAAACTCTACATGGAGGATGAGGGAAAGTCCTTCTTACAGGTTCGTGGTACAGTAGTCTTAGGCGTGTCTTGTTCGTGTTGTTGTTGTTGTTGTTGTTGTTGTTCTTGTTTTTGTTGTTGTTGTTGTT